TTATATACTATTCTTTTGGAAGCATTGCTTACCAAGATGAGGACGCAGTAACAGCGTAAAAAAGAGAATGAAAAGAGTAAAATAATAGATATTTATTCTGTTTTACGCCTGTTCTGTTGGTTTTGAGTTGGGTATGTTTCTCTGTCACCCATCTCGATGCATACAAAAAAACAAACAAAGATCTTCATTTCAGTCAAATTTCTATTTGATTTTCGAGCACATTGAGCTTGTCACTCGATGCTAAAAAATGAAAGTATTGTTATCTTCTTGCTTCACAATAATCCCTTACCGAGAGATAATCCTTATCCGCATGAAGAAATGAATGTGCATTAGAAGTTTCCAACGAAATGAAGTTTTACAGTATTTTATGTGACTATCAATCTTCTCTGTTGAAACCTCGTTGATTCAAGATTGTGTGCCGAACTTATCTTTTGCTTCAAAAATGTAGAAAAAAAAAGATGATAGATTGAATTCAAAACAGATTATTTTGGTTCAATGCAAGTTCATACTGACTTTTCGACCAACATGACTCGATCGAAGAAACAATAAAAGCTTTTTTCTACCAGCTAGTAACTAAAATCTGCAACTACGACCACTGTCACTTATATTTCTGTCCATCGAGCACACATAATTATACCCACACCATTACTTACATGTGATGTGTGTTAACCAAGTTGTCGTAGTTGATAACATCGTATGCTGCTTGTCAACGTTTAACGCAAAGAGAATCGGCTTTTTTTAGTGAGTATATATATAGTATGGTAACCATGTTGCTGTGTCGTGAAGTCTGTTGGACTACTAGCAACGACTTCGAACTGAAAATTTGTCGAAATATCCAAGAAATATAAAACAATAGAAAAAATGATGATCGAATATGTCATTGTAAAAAAGAGAGAGTAAACAAACTGCCTATGGAGTTTATCGTCTTTTATTATTTATCTTTTTCTTCAAACTAAATATTAGGTTGCTATAGGCAGAGAAAGAAAACAGGACAGAAAGGAGATCGCAAGCGAGTGGCGACCGAATGTCCACACATACGCATATATATATATATAAATCGATGGATTTGAAAAATGAGAGTGATGAGAAGGTCCTTTTACGACAAACAATCGACATTGCGGTTGTTGACAATAAAATTCATTTACCATCACCAGTTTTTTTTAAAGATAATAGGTGACAGGAAATGAGAAAAATTTGCAAGAGAACGAAAGATCAAAAGAAAGACGACAACGACGAGAAAAGAAGAAAGGTAGGATATGCTGCATGCGAATGAACAAATAAATCTTCAAATCTTTTTTTCGACAATAGAAATAACAGGAATAATCTTGAAAATGCACAATGACAGTTGAATTTGTACTAAGATTGTAGACCACAAAAGGAAATAAGAGTAGAGTCAACAATATTTTTGAGAGCCCAATAAAATTCACCAATCCAGAAATCGTAAATGGATTCATAAAAATTGTCAATATTCTCCATTTTAAATAAAATTTTCGATTTAATGGGAAGTTGACTTAAATGCTAAATATTAGCATATCAACGAAATTTTAGACAAGCGTCAATTTTTATTTTAAATAAAATACTCTTCCTTGAGTTTTTCATCTTCAATTTCATTACTTGAGATACTCTTAATAAACTCTAGAAAAATATCGCGTATAAAACGAAGAAGAAAAAAAGAAAAAGAAATAATAAAAAAGCAGAAATTTATGACGTCATTTGAATAATCAGTGTCAAACAACGGTGTTGCTATTGAATCATAATAGAATTCATAGGAATACGCTTTCTTTATGAGACATTGCTAAATTTGCTCTCATGCATATCGTTCAGTGTTCATTAAGTTCTTTTTTTATTATAGACAATTTGATTTAAGTGAGAGTGTTTTAGGTGTGAGAGAATAGATGTACCACATTCTCATTCACTCACATCCTCAAGACAGCATTAACCAGTACGGCAAAAAAAATGTGGTTACTATATTGAAAGAAATGATTCATGGTCGTGATAGCATGAGACTCAATCATACGTTAAAGTTTTTGTGCAAACATACGCATTTCGTAGATCTCTGTTTTCATTTTTTTCTCACGTCAAAAAATCTCGATTACTATTTCGTTCGTTCTTCCATACATTTTATTCATTCGTCTTAGATGAATAGCAGCATTTATATAACTATTGAAGTGCACATGCACACACTCAACACAGCTGCTTTGAATGTTGATGACATAGATAACATTGCTTCGTGTACACGCTTCAAACTTAAACTGACTTTGCACGCTTAAGACGTGGCAAATAACGATTCCAATGATATGATCAATCATGTCACAAAACTATGGACTCAACTGAATGATACACTTGTGTATGCATCTTACTTTCAGAATACACTATGAAAGTGGGGGGGGGGGGGGGTGAAGAGCACATCAAACAACCCGAGTCTAAATTGAATCTTTCTATGCCAGCAAAAGTTCATGCGACGATTAATGTACACAATGGATGAAATAAGATCAACTTTGGGCTAAGCTATCGTTTGGCCACGACTGATCTTCTCTCGATTGCGAAATGGCGACCGTATGAGATGAAAGGTTCAGAATATTAGCTTTTGTTCGAGAGTTTTACCGCTGGGGATGATTCTGCAGCAGCTGAACTGCACGACGATGCTCGAGATCATTTAAATTAATGTATTAATGGTATTAAGAAAGCCGAAGGAGAGTCAAAGAACAAGAAGAATGCTGAGTATAGCATGGCTAGCGACAAACTATTTCATGCACTTCCATGTGAACTACTGATTATTGGTGAAGACATGAACGATTATGTGAAGCAGTGTTTGTTAAGTGTTCGAACAGGCACAATCTACTTGGGACACATAACATATCTGAATGGATATTGATTGGTGCTTTTGCTGACTGAATAAAAATGGGTATTGAAAATGCGACAAACAATAAAAACATATGGTAGAATCTTATAAATATTTTGAAGTAGATTAAAAACTTTTTTTAATACGAATAAAATAGATTAGTGATGACAAAAAAGACACAGTCGTACGATATTTTCTGCAATCAAAAGAAAAGAGAAATTCAAGCTGAGTAGTAACTACACTACATTATACGACTCGTGTATAACATTCTTTATATCAATTCGATATGAATAAATTAAATTTCGAATATTTGTATCAGCCTTCAATTAGTTGTTTGGATCAATGTTTTTGTAGTGTTGAAACTCTGCATTCAGCAAAGTTTTCATTTTAAATTGTAGAATGGGAGACTTTTCTACAATAGTAATATCAATAGAAAAATAACAATAAAAGATAAGAACCTGGAATAATTCTATTGGATAAGAAATCCTCAACGAATTCGATGAAATTTCGATTGGTTCATTTTCACTGGTTTAGCAACGATACTTGAGCTCTCTCTTAACAGAGAGCAATATAATAATCAAATGTGGCTGGAAGACTATGCACTACCTCCAATCTATTGCATAAAGTGGCAAACTGCATTGATTCCCATATTTTCCTTGAGCTAATTTCACTGACTTTTTTGCTGATTAAATATGATAAACATATATTGATCAGTCTACACTCATAAAGCATAATCCACTGTAAGATTATGTGGATGTTGGAAAAAAGCTATTGCATCCTTGTTATATATAAGAAAGCTTTTTGTACATGAATAAACTAGTACAAGCAACTTTCTAAACAACTTTATGTATGTATCCGCTTTACACTTGTCTTTTCCATATAATCTCATTGGAAATATTTCATAGGACCAGTTGTTGCATGACAGCTACTATAAGATGTAGTTATTAGTATGGTTAAGAAAAATCCAAATTTGTGGAGACTTCTCTTCACTCATATCCATATTCTACGTTCATATCCATATCCCGGCCATACTGATTAGACTTAACGATGGATTGATTAGTTGATTCGAATCATTATACAACAATTCCAATGGCGGCTTATTCTTCAATTAATGGCGATGAGTAAACTTATAAGATCTATGTACAAATCCGATTACATCATGACATTTTGCAAAAGTCACTAATCGACTTATACTTAACAAATAGTGAACGACTGAATTCGTGCACATAAATCCAAACGGTTTGACAATAATATTGCTGGGTGTCAGACAAAACCAAGGAATACAAACCGAATTGTTGCAGTTTCGATCAATTGTATGAAAGAAACTAATGATACACTCTGAATGAAACTGTAAGTATGGTAGCTACTCTTTCCAAGTCTCACTCGTCACAATAGAGACCTTTTTATAAAGTCTTAATTGTGGTTCACTAAAAGTATTTGAGTGTAGCATGAAGAAGGTGTCTTACTAGAGTAATTAGCAAGGACCTTGATAGCAGCATTCACTCTTTCTTTCTGAGTGAATAATACCTTTGTTGTCGTTTCAAGCAGATGGCAAGAGATATTGTTTTTACAAATTATGTAAGTAAATTACATAGGCTTATTCACAATAGAAAGGAGGGGAAAAAAGAATCGTGATAAATTAATGACAGAGCAAAACAGTCTAAGACATAACTAGAATACTCCCAATTAATTGCAATTTCGATACAAAACATCAATAAAAAACGTTTCGAAAATCGCCGAGACACAATGAAAACTTTGAAGGTAACGATTGAATACTTCAACAAGTCAACATAAATGCGAAGATTTCGGTCAATGATGACCAAACCCTATCATTTATTCATTGAGTTACTCAACTCAAACCAATTAATTTTCTTTTTGCTAAATAATGGATGACGACTTTTCCTTTGCAGATGAAGAGTAGATAGTAATGGCATCCTATTGATAAATACGAATTAGTTACCTGATCAATGTGCCATAGAAAAATGACTTTATTGAAATGTGTCAAAATGAACTCAATTTTCGACAAGTATCGGTACGGAATGGGATCATTCATTGTCCATCAAGAAGAAATTGTATTTAGCATAATAATCTAAAAAAAGAATAACGTCAAACAAATTAGCTATAATGATGGTCTATGAAAACGTTTTTCTCCAAATGATCAAAATCGAACGTTGGCGACAGGAATTTGCCAAATGTTATTGGTGAGATTGAATTGATTGAAAATGGATAGAGCTTCTTCAGCAGTCCATTTTTTCCAATCTTCACGTAGATGATTTCCATACCAGGCTTGAGCAAATTTCCAAATTTTTTCGATTGGTTGAATATCTCCCTTAGGTAAACGATGTCGTTGACACCAATCATCGACAGCTAAGTCTGAAGTAAAGATTAGCATGACACTGCATGTAAATATTACATTGTCCCAAGCATTCTTCATCGGTATTGGAAAATGAACAAAAAGTGGCTGAGCAGATATGATTTCTCCGTTCTTGATTTGAAATTGAATTTGAGTCGCTTCACCACCAAGTGTCGTCGTAATAGTTACGTCTTCTTGGAGAAGGGAAGCAACGCCTAAACTACACCAAGCACAGTTGCCCCACCATTTTCCTCGGGCACTTTCTACCCAGAAATTAGTCGGTGCCAAAGAGAACGGATGAATAATCCAGACTTCGGATGATTTCGGATGCAATACCACACCGTGATATTCTTGAAGATGATGTAGACACTGGATGACATCATGTGGTGATCGTTGAAATATCTTGCTCAAGTCTTCAATCGAACACGTATGACCTTTCTCAATAATTGTCTGCAGAAGAACACAGTGAAGACGGGCGAGATTCAATTCCATGTTTGTGATGGCAGCAACCAAAAATGAAGCACAAATATATAGACTGTTCTTTCGTCAACCATATGTCACTTTTTTCAAATTTACAATTTTAAAACAATCAGATGGTATTGAATCTCACAATGACAAATCGATAGATTAGTGTGATAGCGAGTGCTGAGACTGAGAGAAGAATCGATCTTATCATTGCGCAAATAATGCTGTGATTATATGTGTGTGTGTGTGAGTGCGGATATTTATCTTCTCTTTGTTGGTTCCTTTCCAATCGAATCATCGTGAATCTTGATATGTATCTAAAACAAGTTTCAGTTTTATTTGTGAACAAGATTTTTCGAAGTTTACTAATTCAATAGTTTCTCGTCGTATATTGCATGATAAAGATGAAACCTCAGAGCAGAGGACTTCTTTTCTATCTGGTAATTTAATTTTTCAGCAATCCAATAATATGCTATCATTGTTATTCTGTGAGACGATCGACCAATGTTTCAGTGCATTTGATGTCGGAAAAAAATTTATTAACGAGGGTCGAGATCATGCTTGACAGTCAGCTTTCATGCGTTGAGCCAACGCCTTACTTGAATGGGTTACTTGGTAGATTGACAAAACTTGAGAGAAGTGCAAGCACACAACTGAGTATCGTCATCTTGAGTAAACTAATCGCAAGGATAAGATTCGTTTTATTTTGAGAATGAGTGGGCGAAGAAACAATTCCCACCTGTCTCAAGTCAACTTAAAATTGGTTTTCGACTGAAAAAAGTTGCCTATTTAATATTCGCACTCTCTTTGTGGATCTGGTTAACAGTCAATATTTGATGTTACAATCGCTTGCTATCAGCGTTGCTTTTAATTGCAAACAGGACAGCAAAAGAAATTCTGTGTTGAAATCAACTGGGGTGTATGAGAAATGGCTACTCACCCAATCTCAACTATGAAGTGGCTTGCGACTCACTCATATTAGTGATGAAGAGTGTGGGTGTGCACTGCTTAGAAGAATCAAAAGATACATAGATAACACACACAATACAAGTGAAACTATAAGGAACATGATACAAATATGAAATGATAACGTGCAAGTTTCCCGAATTATTCCAAAGTATGTATTTACTACCGATGCAATGAGGGCGTATACAAACCATCTTGATGCCTCGAATTAGAATTTCTTATACAAATGCAAAGTTAAATCGAAGTATGCCACTTGATTGATAGAACATCATCCAATTTGCATAATTTTATTTTCTATATTTTAAGGAATCCGTAGCATGAAAGTAGTTATTTTTGCGACTACAAACATGCCTTGAGCACCCAATTCTATCATTCGACAACGTATGATTGCTTCTAGTTGTTTTCGTTTTTGATATTCATATTTCTGTCTAACGTAATTTTTCTAAATGCACGAGAATTGCTATTCAAAATTGAATCCAATCGAAGACAATAATATCAACTATTGTTGATAATTATTCATGTATCGATATTATCTGTTTTGATTTAAAAGTGTCAATGAGACCTGTTCGAAATCTTATTTCTACAACTTATTTCAAACGAACTTCCATTTCTAATAGAATTTAAAAATCTTAATGTATCATACTCATCTTAAAGAAAATCAATATTGATAAACTCTATCTAACACTTGTAGAATTGGTGAGCATTTGCATACATATTAATGAAGTCTTTTAATTTGTGTTTTCGTAGCACTTGGCTTGTTCTCCAGCACGTAACTAATTCTAATTACGGAATGTTCGTGTTCTCTTTCATCACTGTCACAAGTAAGAGTACAAGAACATTTATCAACAAGGTGAAGTTTGAGGATATGTTGTAATTCACTCAAAGTATTCACTTTCAACAATTGAGTCACTCATGAAAGCATTGTCGAGTACTAGTTCAACGTACCATTATTGATCTGGTCTCTTGAAGTGTGAGTTTGGGTCTTCTCTTCATCCGTATGCTTCATGAATATGACTGAAGTCATATAAAAGAGGTTTGATAGCAATGATACGGGCAAGCAATCGAGTACAGTCAACATGTATGCCTGAACTATTTTCATCAAGAATATTTGTAGGTGGAACATTTGTAAGAAGAATATCAACGTCATTTGGAGTCTAAGACTAGGACTGTTTGATTTTGATACTGTTGATTGGTCAATTAACGACCCATTCATGATATTCTGATTGATAGGGACTAAAGAAGGAAAAAAAATTCAAGAGTACAGCGAGATATATACATCTATGAATCTTATCTGTCGTAAAATTTCAGACCAGTGACATTATCAATAAACTGTTGTTCTTCAAAATAGATAATCCCATGATTGGTTGCTAACAATGGTTCACATACAAGTCACCCAAAAGTTCCCAATTTTCTTTTCGATCACGATGCCATAATTCCTAAATCTTCTTGTAAAAAAGCCGATTTCAAAGTTAAATCCTGATTACCTTCAAGGGATACTTTCAATTGATGATGAGTAAGAGATTTAAAACAAGTTATGATTTTTTCTATTTCACTTGATTTGTCTGGCATCGAAAAATTGTCTGTATGAACAAAAATATCGCCAGCTGGCAATACAAAGCCTTATCCTAAGTGCGTATCACTAATACAAACAATACGCATCATTTTAGTTTTGTTGCTAGCGATTTGGTGAAAAAATAATTTTGCACAACACAGAATCTACGCCATATTTTGATGCTCTTTTAGCTTATGATTGTTAAGGGAGTGCAAAAAAGGATTAGCAAAAGAATGAATTTTACGTCTCTTATATGATGAAATGTAATCTTCTAATATTATTGATAAATTGTCATCATGGTTGGGAACATGCCCACAATGATAAACATAATTTCACCTTCACTCTCATTATTTCAATACAGGATTTGTAGTGATTAGAAAACATCGCTTTAAAGTACCTATTTAACACATTTGAAACAGATCATCATTGCTATTGTAATGCAAGCTATAACGATGTGGTGCCGATGAAAGAAAGAGGATTTACAACTCATACGCACACTCTTTCATTTTATAAGATGTATGCAATGCCCGTGTACGTTCGTCCTGAAATGTCTTCTTGCGTCAGATCTTAATGAAAGCTGCTTTTTCATATAGTTATATGGACATAACCTTTTATCTTTTCTTTTCAACATTTACTTATGTGCGCATACAAAAGGTCTTATTCTGTAAGATTGTTTTCGTCTATAGGCACAGATAAAATGTACTTTTTATTGAGTTTGTTTCTGATACGATTGGCAATCTATGGTATGCCAATGCCAACGATATTAGATACCGATATTGGTACAGCCTATGATGATCATCTAGCATTAACATACATCCTGTCACGTCCAGATCGCTTTGATTTAAAACTAACTGTTTGTTCAACAACGAATACAACTGCACGTGCACAGATTGTTGCGAAAATATTGAGCTCTTTCAAACGCTTCGATGTTCCTACCAGCATTGGACGCGCTCCTCAAGATGCATATGCTATATTCGAATATGAACGGACAGGAGATTATTCATTAGAAAAAGTTCAGAACGACGGTGGAATTGTTTTTTTCGATGGTCAACATGTTCATTGAGAGTTATTTAATATGGTACAGTGATGGTGGAAACAACATGAGTGCTATTCAATCCTTTAATCCTTGCTGTGGTACGTCCGCAATGTACGATATTTTAGCTACTTACTTGTCAAGTTGTTACCAATCTGTCGATCCAACTATATCAAGCTTACTATCAATATTCGTGACGAACGATGGTTACACACGAGAAAATCAAACGATCAAGAATGTCTTTAACACTTGTTTGAAATACGAAGTATCAAATTCATACAACGCAACGGCTCAGATTGGTTGGGAAGTGTTCGAATCGATCATGCAAAACGATATAGACGAGAACGACCAAAGTTCTTGTTTTTCTATGTGTCCACAATTATGGACTATGTTATTGCTTAGTGCACCGTTGTATATCAATCATTATCAATAACAACGTCTGTCAGAGCAGTAATCATGATTAAGAAAAGACTGCAAAATACGGCAACTCCTACAGTCGATCTAAGAACCGTTAATCGTGCGAAAGCGTAGGGAGGTCATGACTGCCTTATACTGCATAATTAAGTTTCTTTTGCACGTGCTACTTACGATATGCTTTCATTGTATCGAAACAAAATGAACAATCGAATTTTCAAATGTGAACTCAGCCAAATATTCATTACTTTTCATTTCGTATTGAGAGAATAAAAACAACCTATCCTGCTTTAGCATCGATCTGAATAGCCGGATCAATGACGATTTCATGTTGAATACAATAGTGTCAAATAGTGACGGAGTTTCCACGATTCTTGCTTGAAAATAATGGACACGATACGATAAAAATAGGCACACATCACAGAGCTTATAACATCAAGTATGATTGTGTTCATTTTATGAATCGTTCTACGAATGCTGCAATATATCACAATATGATTGAAGAGCAACAATGTTCAATCGAATATAGCAGAAAAATGCTAGAAACCACTCTGCAAATTAACATCCATATGTGTCTCAACAAATGCTATTCTTAAATATCAATATCTGATGATTTTCATTTGTTCCATTGTAATTTTTTTCGAAATCATTCGTTCGGTAAAATAAGTTCGCCTGTTAGTCACAGAATACTTGTTTTTTATTTTTTGCACCTTGATAGGCACATTAAAAGTTGGTCTTTGCTTGCTGCTTCTACGATTGTCAACATCTCGTGCACAGCATTTCTTTCGTTTTGCACATTGCCAGGTTATCAGTGAAAAAAAAAGAACAATAAATCTTCTACACTTCTTTCATTTTTATCTTTTATATGTCAGCGTACAAGGATCGTGTATTTGTCATTGGAGCAAGTGGAGACATTGGTAGTAGAGTGGTTCGTGATCTAATTAAGAGAGGCATCGAAACGACGGCATATGTGCGAAATGAGACAAAAGCAAACGATTTATTCAAAGATGAATTAGCCACTAGTAAGCTGTCCATCATTGTGGGTACTTATACGTCTATCCAAATATACACAAAAGCAATTCAAGGGCACACTCGTCTGTTTCTTCTCGTTGTTGGCGATACCTACAAGGCAGCATCAATGAGTCAAATAAAAGGAATCTTTGGCAAAATTGCTTTCGAACAAGGTATCCGGCAAATTGTTGATCTTTCGTCATTTAATGTTCGCACCGATGGTAATCAAGGTATTATTGGATATATGCATAAAACGAGCGAAGATAAATTGTGGGCATTGGCCGACGAGAATCCAGAGATGCGCTCCTTGGTCGTACTCCGCCCAGGAGCGTTTATGAGTAATCACTTTATGGGTGATGCTCAGCTTGTAAAACAATCAAACAAACTTGTTTCATGTGGATCTTTGGCGTCAATTACTACTTGGATCGATACGAGGGGTAAGCATTTCGAATGGAATCTCTTTTAGACCACACAGGGAGAGTACATTACGAACTAAAATCTGTAGGGAAAAAACTGCAGAAACTCTCACGCGATTGAAGAAAAACACTCACGATGATCGAATAGAAAGGCTTGAGAACATGTGATTTGACGCATCACATAACGGAAGTACTTCTCAGTCGTGAATTTGTTGTTAGTCGTTGGCACATGAAAATCTTTAAGAGTTCAGGTGGGGTCAAAATGAACTGTTTTATTCTACATGTTTTTACATTTGATACAGAGAAAAATGTCAATTAGAAAGAGTCTAAAGTTGTTTCGATATTGATAGATGTCGCTGACTGTGCTGTTGTTGTGCTAACTGAACCTGTGGAAAAACATGATCGCTGCGTCTACGAAATGGGTGTAGAAGTACTGAATAACGAACAACGAGCAGCAATCTTTACCAAAGTTCTTGGACGGCGTATCACGTACGAACAACAAACAATTGAAGATTTCTACAGAGTTTGTGTCAATTCTGGCATGACTCATTCATTTGCCTACGATCTGATTAAGCTCGCTGTCAATGGAGAAGGCAAGAACGCCACTCCTCAACTAGCTCTTCTTCTCAATCGGCCTTTACGAACACTGGAACAATGGCTAACAGACAATGCCACACTATTTACATGAACTCCATGCTATTCTAACAAACATATTCCATTACACGCATGATTGCATAAGTTGCTTTTAAGATTTTTTTGAATAAAAACTAGTTTTGAAGACGAAAACAGTCACAATTATATTATCAAGCCCCTGTCGAATGTTTGATGATTGGGAATAGTGTCTGTCCAGTTGGGACAAAGTAAGATTTCAAAGAACGTGCATGTTGGTGTTGATGTGGTTGTTAGGGAACTTTTGTCAGACACATTCACGCCATCCATCCGCGATAAGACCTAAAGAAACATAGAGCTGATTAAAAGTAATTTATAAGGAATGAAAGCAATTAAAGCAAAGCACAAACATAATGCATATAAAACAATGAGTAAAAATAACGTGAGTCGTAAACGACGATTTGCAAAGTCGAACCATCTTGGGATACAAGCAGAATACAGAGATCATCGACGAAATTCAATATTTATGTTTTAACACAGGAAAGGAAATCCTGAGAAATGTTAACCTTTTTTTCTTTTTGTCTCGCGTTTGTTTATAGAGTGAGCAAAGTATGGAATATTTGTTTTTTTTATCTTTACAAAAACTATTTCAATACATATTTGTTCAGTGTTGTTTTCTGTCAAATGTACTTTCAAGATGTTTTATTTCTGCAGAAAATTTATTTCCTGAACTGATTTAGAAAACAATGTTTTAAGTTTGTCGCCCGTTTCAAAAAGAATCTCACGGGCTGCATCCAATTGATTAACAATTTTTCTATGAAGTTCAGCATTACCTGAAACATACCTTTGATGAACCTTTTCAGGTCAGCGATTAGTCATCCGTCAGCATTCCTTGGAGCACCATCTACGGCTAGCCGCTTCCGTGTTTAAATATGACGCCTCAATTAAGGATCTTTGTCCATTTACAATCTTGTTTGATTTAGTCTTGGACTCCTTGCACGAAATTATTTGATTTACAATGACAGAATTTTCAATTAAAAATTGGAAAACTAGAGCTAATGTGCGGATGACTAAGAGTAGAGTACGTTGTGTTGACGTATGTAACTGAAATATCGCTGCAGAAATTGGATCGTTTTCTTTTACAAAAAAACGTTTATTGAAATTCAATCAAAAAGCTGTATTCAATTCTTTTCTCTAAGTTTGAATATCTGTATTCAAGGTTTTAGAGAAAATTTGACTTCGAATATACAATCATAACTTTATATAGTGCATATTGAGTTATTAAAAAAAACATAGAGTGATCCAACTTCTGCATTTTATGCTCTCATATGTGCGATATCTCACAAGGAATAGGCCATTTACTGTTCTTCGTTAATTTTTTGCTCTTTAATTGACTCAGAAACACCGACAAAAAAACTATATATGCATGAATAAGGGACATCCCACAAGTTGTGAAAGAATTTCTAGAAATTTATGGAGTTTAGATTTGAGTTCTTCATCCATGATTACTTTTTGTGAAGTCTTTACTCGAGCACTAGTATTGAATAAATCATTAGAAAAAGAATAAAAATATAAGAATCGGTCTCGAAATATGGTTGCCCAGCTACGATTACTGTTGGTCCACTTTTTCAGAGTATATTGGAAAGTATTGAAGTCAACATCGCATTCAGATTCGCTATCTTTGATTACTTTTGAGTAGATTCCAATTGTTCACCCTCGATTTCCTCTCATTATGTCGTAAAACTAGAACGAAGTAAAATCATTGATATCGCATGGCAGCCTCTCTCTCGTCCTGCCTATTTGATTGACTTGGACAAACGAACTTATAGATAGACAAACGCATTTTAAAATTTTTGCAACATGAAGTTTTCTTACAAAGAAGTCAATAATTCCGGAAAAAATTTTTAGACATATAAACTAACCTTCGATTCGATTTCTGAGCCTTTCAACATCTTGGACATCCTTTTCTCTGCAAATAGTAACAAAAAAAGGCTAGGCTCTAATGCGAAGTGTACATGATACATTACTGTAATTAAGTTTCTTCGAGAATATTAAAAGATTATTAAATATTGATAAAACATGTTAATAATAGAAAGCAGCTGACCGCAGATCCCAATTTTTTGCTTTCGATTAGCTTTTGGTCAAATTTTTTGGAAAATTAATATTATTAGTTATTAAAATCATTAATTATATTAAAACTGACCTCAGATTCGTGTTGCTCGTCCTCGATTAGGTATGGTCAAGTTGTATCACAAAAAATGGGTCATACTCACCTATTCAACATACGACGTCCTCCAGTGTTGGATTCTGATTGACTTGGACAGACAAACTTTAAAAATATAGTTCTGCGATATACTTGTTTCTTTCAGACATGTGAATAACCATTGATTATTACTTATTATTTCTTGTTCAGTCGATATTTTAATCGGTTTAAATCGTTGTGGTTCATGCTCACACATTATTTCCTAATTCGCTTGAGATAATTGAACAGGATAAATAGTTCATCTTTTATAATCATCGTGTAATTCAAAAACAGAACGTACTGTAGATATAGTTGTGACAGGATCAGTTTGAGAAGATGGTAGGCACAATTGTTTAGAAAGCGATTTTCCCAAATATCCAAATAATTAAAACGAATAAAATTCGACATTAATTTTTTCAATTAAATAACCGCTTTTACCACTGTTATGTTCTTGTTGAGTCCCGAAAGAACATAATGATAGAAAAACATAGATGTTTACTTTTAATTCATAAAGCTCCAGCCAAACATGCCGAGGACGATGATTACAGCCGCCGTAACGGCCAAAAACGATGACGTATACTGTCGTTTTATACAGTTTACGGTCGTAAATAGCCGTAAATTGATGTTTTGGTAGCGATCGTATTACAGTCCTTTTTCAACGTGTCATACGCGGCCAGAAAAACGATCGTTTACCACCGAGCTTGTTTGACTTGGGTGTATAATAACGTACATATATACCATCAAATAAAAGAGAGAAATAAGAAAGAGACACAGTTTGACAGAAATACAAAGATGGACAATCGTAATCGTTTAAGTGTCATGTCATAACACTCTTTCTAATCATTTACGTTATGAAGCATATGCTATTTTGAAATCGCTATTATATTAAGAGCATACTTTAAGCTCCCATAATTATTCCTTGATAGTCGAAGTCGGTTGCAATTCTACTCTCAAAGTCCCTTCTGTTTTGAACAAAGTTGGAAAAGGAAATCTGATACCGCTAATACAAAATAACACTAGAGCAAGTTGGTTATCAGGCAAAGCAATCTTAGTAAAAAACAAAGACAGATGCAATTCCTCTTTGATTGACGTGAATTTTTTTTACTTTGAAGTTGTAATAGACACCACAACATTCATTACGGCATGAGCCAACTGGTTTCATTCGAAAATCAGTAGGGAGGAATAATGGAAATGCTTTATAGATATTCTTCATAATCGTTTTTTTTGTGCTAAATGATGATTAAAAAGAAAGATAGAAAGCAATAGAATGTAGAGAGAGCGAATAATTGATCTCTTTGAATGCCCACTTATCATCAATAGTCAATGGCTTGAAATACGAAAAGTCATTTGTTTTTTCGATACTTTATGCAAATCGATATATGCGCAGGAGAAAAACACAGTATAATGTGTAACGTGGGGCCAGAACAGACTCCATAAATAACCCATGGTGTCGATAAACCAATCATTAATAGTCGTATTTTACCTGTAGTGTCAATGCAGGTCGTGATCAATTTATAGCTTTTTAACACACTAGTCAGTCTCTTTACCGACTTACTTTTTGCAGACTCAGCATGGTCAGAACTAAGACAAATCGGCTTATACCTGTCTTAATCTAACTAGATCTTTTCGATCCAAACAGGAGCTGAAGCAAAAAAAACTTCCAGATGTAGAGAAATGCTTTAAAAGTCATCTTTTCAGAAAAAAATTAAGCGTGTAAGAAAATAGAACTTTTATCATTTTTAAATGAATTTTTACACTGTTTTGTGCAGCGCTCTATGCTGACATTGTGACTAGCAACAGTACACAGCCGGTTCAATAGAGATTTTTTCACCAGTCGGCTGAAACTTGGATGTAGGTATGGTCTTGCTCACGCTCATACCCATAAACAATCGTTTGCTTCTTTCAATCTCTTCTGAGAATAAAACACAATATGTCTAAGAGAATAAAGAAAATGAAATGAGCAAAGAATTTGGATAGAATGAGACAAGAGCTACTCTTTTTATCATGAAGTGATATACACAAATGAGGCACAAATTTTACTCTGTACACAAAAAGGCGCATTGAATATATAAGCGAAACAGAATTAAGAGTTTTGATTTGTGTCATATGAACAGCTCTAATCACATAACTTATCATCTGTTGATAACTGAATTAGAATGTCTTAGTTTTTTTCATCTTTGACCCGTTCATGAATTTGTTTGTTTGAAATCTGTGTCTAAAATAATTAGTCGATTAAGTATATATGGTGAATGAAACTTTCTGATCAGTAGCTACTTATTCATTGATTAGCTGTTAATGATTTATTAATAACTGAAAGACATGTTGCTACATTTTTTGACGATAGTACAGGATTAGTCATCATAGCCAAGACGAGAGAATCTAGAAAAGCAGCAAAAGAAAAAGAGTCAGTTTTTCTAAGTCCGAAATAAGAAGTTTACTGGGAGATTCATAGGATTCATCAAATAAACCGAATTGAGGCTGATAAATGCTACTAGCGCAAGTACCAATAGTAATAAGATCATTATATTTTTGTTACGCATCTCCAAGGCGATCAAATTCATTACATTCACCAGGAAGTTGTAATCGATGTGATTGATTTTCTTGGGTCGTTCTGAAATATCTGCGTTAACTTAATCTTTCACAACGATTTTACAACATTTCCTTATACTAAAAATTCTAATTGATCACTTGCTTTGCTAGCACATTTTTCATTTAATAGTTGTTAAGGTGTGGTTGAAGACATTGTTTTGCTTGCTGCTGACATTTTTAAGCGATGCATAATGTGAGATGTTTTATGAAATATTATTATCAATAATACAGTTCAGTATTGTACTTGTGTTTCAGTATCTGATGACTAATACTAAGTCCAACTAGAAATAAAAGAATCATATCCTTCTTGTCTGTTGCTTTGTCCTAAACAATTTTAAAACTTCTCTTATATGAGTATTGATCAATAATATTTAACGATCGAACTCTTTTTCTAGCATAGGTTTCAAAACTTTTTAAGTAATCTTGTTACGTGACTGTTCTGGAGCCATCTCTTATAATCAAAGGCTATAATATTGGAAATTACAGATGTTCCTACTGAATCATATCTTCAATATGGTAGAACGAGCAGTTTTGAGCTTCATTCATTAAGTAGGATTTGATGATGGAAACAAGTGAGTGCACAATAGTTTGATGGTAATATGCCAACGTGTACTTCATGTTCTAGTTTATTGCCAACCAACTGGGGACAATCTCTATCTTGATCCATTGTTACACTTTGACTTTGTTGTTGCATAAGTTCATGGTAAAAATCAACAATAAATTTAATCTGAATTAAATGTTTTAATAAATCAGAAAACATTTTAAGTATTTCACTTGTATTGCTAACGGATCGAATAGGATCTTCGATAGCATTAAGAAAAGCAACTACGTCTTTCGAAGCACAACATAGATTTTTGTTTATCACTAAATATAATATACCTGTAATAACATATGATTACTACATATCATCGAAAAAGTCGAAAAAGCTTACGCTTTCGCTAGTGACCGATATAAGGTACTGGTATGGATATGGATCTACTTTTCAACGATACCCGTACTCTTACTATTAGAATGATCTCTTATTATCTTCAGTTCTTGTAACTGTTTCAAATAATAGCAGAGAATAGTTTTAAAAAAATAAAAACAAAATAGTTCTTGACAAAAAAATCATCGCTCTATCGAGTGTTTACTCCTCTCGTCGATACTAGTCATCGATCAAATACATTCCTTCATCTTATTAACTCTCATAATTTGAAGAATTTTAAGTCAATTTAGTGAGAGGTATCCGAGCGGACGACTATCCTATATTTATCGGCATATACATAGATCGACTCCCGTCCACGACATCGTCTTTATTTTTCTTTTTTTCTTCACTCCGTTATATATTCATTACTCATAAGTCTACAGCCTAACGATCTATACGTGTCTTTTTTCTTCCTTAACGTGAAGTCGCTGTTAGTTATTTTTTTTTAGCGATGAGGTCGAGAAAGAATGCGAAAAAGAAAAAGAGAAGAAGAAAAAGAGAAAAAGAAAAAGAGAAAAAAGAGGAGTAGATATACTCGGGAAGCACATGTGTGTAAAAAAAGAACAGAATGAATGCGAATATGTAACAAGCGCCGTTGGTTTTGTAACAAAAAGTCTATTTTTTTTTCAAATTTGCAATAATAAAATTTATGTGTTATGAATAGACGCTTCATTACAAAATTCTCGTCCACTACTGGATATCAAAACGACCATGCATCTAAATATGGAGCGATCAGAAAGTCTCAGATATGCAAATTTTTTCATATACATGTTAACAGTCGACGAAAGTGTCGGTGTCAATGGCGACTTCTATTCCTTCTCGCACTTGTTCTAGTCGCTTTCTACTTGCTCATCTGGCAGCCATTCCTTTCTGACTTCGCTGTTATTGGAATCTGGAAAGCACGTAACTATGCCTACCAAAAGCAGTACTGGGGCGCGCTTCTTATGTCAAGCCATGCCCTCTGTTCTATGCGAAAGTATCCACTTCTTTACGTCCTGTCGTCGACGAATGCCGATCTCGTTTGGGAAATGTCATGTCGTCCTTTAAATGATATTTTTTTCGAATGGTACGCTATCAGTTTGAACTCTTCGGACGATGCTCACCAGCATTTCTCTATTATTGTTCGACCAATCAGTTTGGATGAAGTGCACTGGGTGTACCGTGCCCATCTCGGATCCTTAAAAGTAAATACACGGTACCAGTATGAGATCTTTTCAATGGAAAATGGAAAACGTGTATTTCATCATCCAAAAAAAGAATTCTACTGGGCGGGAGAGGGTACAAACGAAACACTTCATATTGGAATTATTAGCGACAATCAATCTGGTGTTCGAAATTTCATGGCTATCTTGCGTTCTCTTGCCACTCTTCCCGCGTCTTATCCATTGCAATATGCGACATCTTCAGCCAGCAAAGTTTTTCCACACTGTCTTATTCATGCAGGCGATTCAGTTCAGTCTTATAATTCGCTTGAAGAGTGGCAAACTAATTTTGCTGATCCGCTATCATCTACTTGGAGTAGTGAACGAATGCAGTCCCCACCGGCAATCTTCTATGCCCATGGTAACCACGACCAAGATGTAACAAATCGATACCCATACACGACCGGATCAAGAAAAGGCGAAAACTGGTTCAGTGCAACTCTCGGTACAGCTCGTTTTGTTGTACTCGACTCGCAACCATCGAATCTGTTCGAAACTCAAGTCAACTGGCTTCAACGGGAAACTCGTTTGGAGACATGGAGCCGTGCGTCATTTCGCATTGCAATAGTGCACATTGCACCATTCATAGAATACTGGGACCCCCACGCGTGGGAAGAGCTTGGTGAGAAACACTGGGGAGATTACGTACGTACACAGCTAGTACCGATTCTCATGAGTGGTGGAGTAGATTTAATTATCAGTGGACATCAGCATGCCTATTCACGAGGATGGATTTCGAACGAAGTGGGGCAAGAGCTCACTAAAGACGAACTGAAAGTGAGCATAGACAAGAACGAAAAACGTGAACGCGTACAGCTTATGATGAACAGTTGGAAGCGAAGACGCTATTTACACGGCGAGCATAACTTCATTTATCCTGTCAGTCGTCTTCGAGAGGGCACGATGATAACGGTGATCGGTGGTGCTGGAGGTCAGCTCGATTCAGAACGGGTCGAGAATTGGGGATTTTATGAGACGAGCCTAACTGGACGCTACAACTTTGCAGTAATCACACTGGATCTTAGAGGGCTTCGCTTAATGTGGAGAGCATACGATACGAATACTCAGTTAATAGATAAATTTGATCTCGTACGAACATAAATTCTATGCACAAAATATTTCTGTCAGCTTTAATCGCTTGTGTGATAATGCTTTGTTGTCACGAAATAGTAATTCTTACTTCTCTCTCCATAAAATAGTTTCCTATAAATTTTTACTTCACTACTGAATCACGATCCATCGAAGAGATTTCTACGAAGTTTTAAAATTTTTATTGATTTGAAAAAAATGAACAATAACAGAACATTAAATTTTTAGAAGCAGAAAACAACGAGTTCGAAGTTTATCAATTTCAATATCAATAAGTAAAAGCAAACTATGATAATGCGGATACTACCTTCTAATATTTTTGCTACTGCAGATGCTATAAGACTACAGAAATGGTTGATGTTGATAAAAACAAAATATCAACTAAAGAAGAACATGAAATTGTTCTTACTGTACTTGTATTCATCTAATCACTGCAATCAATATAAATCGAGATTCTAATTTTACGCTGCGTGTAAATTTAGTTAAAATGAATACCCACACTCTGATCTTACAATAATTAGAGAAAGGGTAGATACATAGAGAAAATGCTATTAATAATGGCTCGTTCGCTTTTAAGAAAATAAAATGATTGAATGTCATTTCTATGAATAGGATAGCAGCATAGTAATTCAAATAGTAAAGTATTGGTTAAAGACATACTTGACCACTTTAGAGTGAATGTATGTGTAGTTGTGAGTGTGACCTAAAATAAGATTTCCGCGTATACCCACATCCACATTCACAGATCCGTGTATTGACAAACAAGAGAAGAGAATTGGTACTGATGTGAAATCATTGAAGTTAAATTAATTTGAAAGCAAACTACATAATTATAAAGACGATGAAGATTAAACTCAAGGCTGCATCTAATAGACTTGTTGTCATGAAAGAAATAGTGAAAACTGCTGTCATTTATTGATTCTGAGAATTTTTTGAAATCTTAGTTTTTAGTTGATTAATTTCAATGAAATTTCGCATGCACTCTAAATTCATCATGACCTATGAAAACTTTATCTTGACACTTGAAAGGGAATTCAATAATTTACAACATAATGCGATCTGTCTCTCGAGTAAATTAAAACATAAACTTTAGTCTCGTCACACTCAAAATTATTCACGTCTAAATCTAAATCTGAATCGTATGTATAATAAATGGAATGTTGATTTTTAATTATACGCTCAACTATTCTTCACTATTTTTTGTTTATTGCCATTACCAATTAGTAGTCATCTAAATCTATACGTCATCAATAGTTCGAGCTTTTTTGACAACAAAGTCAAGAAAAGAATTGTTAGTGATGAAGGAGAAATGCAGACCGAATGAGATGTTACATGGCAATTGTCATAAAAATTCGGACCTAGTGTACATTGAATTTCTTCGATGATAGACATTGAACAGACCGTACAATAAATATCGCCTAGAAGTTGTGCCCGAACAACACCCGAAGATACAGTTAGTCGATCCGATAGTTCGTTATTCAAATTTGGAAAGGTCCACTCAATTCCATCTTTTGTTAATAAATCAACGAGTTTTTCTCGTTCAATATCCGTCGTGCAATTTAATGGATTGATAGCGGCATGCGCTATAGTATCGAAATCGGGTTGCACACGTATTTGATGTAGAAGGTACAGATGAATAGCGGTTTGATTATTGACGATCATGTTCGAAAGAAAGTAGCTCGAGTAGCGTAGCGATCGATACGGTTCAATTTCTGACGCATTCAATTGAACAACAGTTAGAAGAGGCCAAACGATTTCGAGGGTAATATTGCATACGTATTGCCCATTTTGTTCAAAATTACCACGAAAGAATCGAGCGGAAAATATTGTCATATTGCCATTGAGTAAATTATTCAATGACCATAAATCTGGCAGGATGGTCCACTGATTCTGAAGAATACTCGTATTTGTCGGTAAGAGTAGAGAATTTACATTTGGATGCGTCACCCGTGCCATAAACACTAGTTGGAAGTCATGTGGTGTACGAAACATAGGTTTGTGAGAAATCCAAACGAGACCTAAGGTACTCAACGGTAACAATATGAACCCATGTTCGGCCGTCCGCCCGTTGAATGAAAACGGAGGTAACTGAGATGGATTAGGATCGACAATAAATGCATCATAATAGGCTTTATGTCGTTGATTGAATCCTGCTTTCCATTGTTCTTGTAATTCAGCATTGAGTTGATGCAAATGATCTAATGACAAATTGAGTAGGCGCTCTTTTGGTTGGTAGGTAGCTCCGATTGGATAATCGACTTTATCTGTTTGAGTCATTTCAATATGTGCGCCGAGTATAGCACTTACATTGAGATTATTTGACTCAATGAAATACAATAGACGTTGAGTAGAATCGACATTAGCCGAAAAGTTTGAGATATATAAACGTCCTGGTAACAGTGAATCACCTGTAAACAACAATCCAGTCGCACAATCGTAAAAGGCTATCGAAGCATTTTCATGGCCTGGTATAGGTATGATAGCTAATTGACGCTGATCGTCGAGAGCAAAAGTACCAATCGAAGATGGCCATTTTGATAGTTTGAAAAAGTAACTTACATTTGCTACGGTTGCACCTACAACTGTGGTAAAATATTGACCTTGAAATTGTCTATCACCGGCAATATGATCAAGATGATTGTGAGTATGAGCAACGACTAACTCCAGATCTTCACGATGTTTCTTTTTGTTATTACACCAGTGATTAACAATAGCTTCAACATGTTGTCGAATGGGAAATGAAGTCGACGAGACGGTTGCACCACTATCGATAAGTAAAACGTTTTTTGTTCCAAAGAGAAGGTACATGAATGGAGCTTCATAATTAATGCACTTATTTTCACGAAGTATAAATGTATCATTATTCACAGCAAATACATCCACATCAGGTTCTCTCGCTCTAGGATGGAAACAATTGATGGAGCCACTTGTCCACTTGGTTGGTAGCTCGACTCGAAGATAAGTAGTATTCTTGGAGCAAGTAAATGAAGTGCTTGCATAAGCTGGGATGCAAGTAAACAGAAGAATCAGTGAAAGAAGCATTCTCAGAGAGATAGGCAATCAGTTTATAATCTGAAAAAAAAATATGTAAGTAAGCAACCCAAGTATTGATGTCAACTCTGTTCTCTTCTGTTATCGGATAACGATAATGTGTAGTATGGCTATAAAACCTGTTGTTAATGTTTTAGAACTGAGAGCTGTGTTATTTAGGATTAATCAAAAAGTATTTAAAAACTTTCAGTACAATTCTCATTTAATTAAAACGTGAAACACTACTGTTAATGTGTTGAAATGTGTGTAGCGAGAAAATTGACAGCAACTCTTGCTCCCATCATTTTTCTACAAACACATGACACATATATTGATATGCAATGATGGAGTTTTTGCTCATAGAATTTTGAATTATTGTAACTAGGACATCTAAATTTTCACATTTCGAATCGATCAGAAATTCTCACGTTCACACATGTATTTTTCCTCGTAATGTAGTATACTAGTATTCGTTAAAGGTATCTGCAGATGATTTTCCCTTGATCTTCTGATGAATCTTAATCAATATAAAAAGTATCTTTATGATCATGTGCATTGGCTTCATTCTATTTCATGTTTTTATTACATAGAGATTACGTTAAAAAAATTTTTGATTAAATACATTCAACTTAATTCACAATCATGTTTCATAAAATGTCAATGTATCCTCATACTATGACACTATTTTATAGGTATATTGTGTGACAAAAGTAGGAAAAATAGACTATTGAGTAATATGAGACATTTATAACAAGGATTCTAAGATTGCAGAAAGAGTCCCAGAAAGACGTCGATTGTTTGGACTATAATGGGGTGGTTTGAGAATAGTTTAAAATGAATATTTTTGTGTGCTTCATACTGATTTTGAGAAAAAGCTGTGACATTTTCTTCTCTTTCTGTTATTTGCAATGTATTTGATGATGACAATGCAAAAATAAGACATTTTCAAGTCACTGTTGTGCCAATATACAACCCATCGCTGCTCTGTTGTCTTCTGCGCAGTATATCTACGCCGTCCAGGAGTCACAAGAGACAAAATACTACTCGTTGTATGTAAAAATAACAGTAATTTGAAACACGTCGCACTTTTGCAATATCATCATTGATCATGCTTCGGCTACAATACAAGGGTGTGTGTATTAGGATGAATAGACGAATCTCACCTTCAGACATCCGCGTACTACATCCTGAAACCTTTTTTTTTTGGTTGTCACTGTGTCAACGTTATCGATCGGCAATGTATAATTAATCAGACAGCCATTACATTAAAAAGAGAACTTCACCTCGAGCTATGATCACTCGAGTGATGACATGTGGAGAAACGATAAATATTCGTCTTCTCTGCCTTATTCTACTTCTTGAAGGACAAAGTGGTAGCAATTGCTTAAATATAAAGATACAATTGACGTGATGCTGGCAAGAATCATTGCAAATGAGGTACAATTTAAGAATAAGTGTCCGGCATTTTGTGAATGAAAGTCAAACATAAATACTAAAGAAATCGACACGTATCAATATTACATAACATAATACTAACATCTTACCACTTACTACAAGCAGAATGTATGACAATAAAAAGTCTTACGATCAGAGAACAGATTAGAACCACGAAAAATCAAGCGTTATTTCTAAAGGTTAATTTTTCAAGTCTTTGTCATTATGTTTTTAAGAATGTAAATGAGAAGAAAAATCTCACTTACATCTACAATAGCTACAAATGAATAATTAGTCATCCTCTAACATTTTTAGTAGATCGATCAAATAACAAAATAGGATTGAATTGAAATCGAACAAGAAATTTTCATCTTGATCATGGTTCGATTCATGTTTTAAATGGCAATTCAATATGCTAGAGAATTTGGATTTCACAACACGACTAAGTGTATCACTCACCTTATCAGACGGTTTTGCCCATCAAGATTCACTCGAAATCTGTTTGTATTCTCGATACGGTTTTATATTTTGCTATTTTGTCTTTCTTCGAATTTTTCTTTTTCAACTTTGAGTTGTTCTGGTGTTTAGCTAAGATTTTCTTGTTTGCTCTTAAGTTCAAGTACAGAAAGAGATCTTGTTAAAACTAGAAAACATCTAAAACGATTCGTACTCATAATATTTTGAAGTCAAATTATGACCGCTTTACTGAAATTTCGCCCATATATAGATCTGTCAATTCTAGGAATATATTGGAAAATTTCAGTCGAAAACAATGTCTTTTGGCGAGATCTTGGATTCCCAACAACTGGTCATTTAGCATGGATATATCATTAAGATCGAGTTTACTTCAAAATTGAATACCTCTACAAAACGATATTCTCAGAGTTATAAGACCTATCTGTGAGCAAAATTTTAGTTTAAAATTTCGTTGTTTTATGTTTTATCAAATACGAAAAAATGGATCGAAAATTCAGCAAAACAACCATAAACCAAAAGCTTTTTTAGAAGTTTTCTAGTCTTACCAAGATCTCTTTGTGAACTCAATATGAGCTCAAATTGCGAATTGCAGTTGGATTAATTCTCTGTTCTATTCGATATAAAAATCGATGTTTTACAAATATATTCTGTTTACTCACAATCTATCCACTATCATGTACAGTTTCGACGAAACAAGCACCCATAGCTATTTTGCATACGACGATAACCTATCTTTGTGTCCTTTCAACATACACAATACTCAGATATAGCAGAATGTGCTCTTTCTATTTCTATCCCAATTATTTCAGTATAAATGTTAGAAATAATTCCTCAGAGAAAACAACACAAAAAAAGCTAGTGAGAATAGCGTCGAGAAAAAAAAGTTGTTCTGTCGCTTTCAGCATTGATAGCTCGGATGTTGTCATTATCTCTCTGTAATAGGCATACATAAAGTTGACGAACAATTAGCAAGCTAAAGATTGGAGACTACATGAAACTGTGTGAAGCATTGCTAGAAACTGATGAATTGCATATGAAAATATTGTTTATGTTAGTCACGAGTGACAGCAATGGATTAAAGATCGTCTTAGAAAATTATGTTCACAGTTTTAATCTCGTACTTTGTAGGAAAAGAAAAGAAATCGTGTGAATATCAATCTTTTTTATAATCATGTGACAGATGAAAAACAATGGATGCTGCTTTTAATAGTAGTTTAGAAATATTTTAAACATCATGTGCAATTTCAAATAACTTTGTAAACAGAAGCGTGTAGGTGTGACTGTAGATGAGAGGAATCTGTACAGTGTACACCAACTAACACTCACGCCATCGATTAATCAAATGCAAAACTTCAGTTGTGATAGCTACCGCTCAAACAGTTCTCAATGTTGTACACCTAAGACGATCATAAAAAATCGAACATTGAAAACATGGAAAAACTCAGAAAATGTTTCAACGTGATGAAAGTATATTTTACCAAACAGCATTTGTCAGTACAATTAAATTTATGAGAATAGGCATTGTAGAAAGAAAAGAAGTCTGACGATTCTTCTATTCTCTTTTGCTGGAAAACGAAATTACACGTTGAGTTCATTGATCAATGTTTTTAAGTATGGCATATTCATGAAAATCAATGATGTAGTCGAAAAATGAATTGACTATCAAGAAGTATCTAATTCATTTTTCTTTTATCCTTTTTCAATTTTATTGGAAAGTTCGTATAATACATTTTTGTAATTGATTACTCAGGTGCGTTTCATCTCTAAATCATTGAAGTCTTGAGCATACACGCAGTTGCAATGTGAGCAGTATCAAAGATGAGTGAATTTTGCTTACTTTATTACCATTTTTTCAACTCCATGGGTTTTTATTGTAAAACTTCCAAAGTTTTTTTAGTATTACGTACAATATGTTTCGACATCACATCGACGAATGTTAATTTTTGTTGCCTGCGTTGCTATGCTAGGTGAGAAGCATCTAACTATGTTTTTCACATCGAATTTTTCAACTAAATCTCCAGCGTGGTAGACGGTGTAAAGTAATATTTTTATTCATCATATAGCCAGATGCTGCATTACGAAATTATAGAATCGACAAGAAGCATTTTGTCTTGTGCACATCTATGGTGAGTTAATGAAAATATTCGAACCAATGCAACTATATAATTTAAACTGATAAACCTAATTGTTGTTCTAGGATTCTAATTTGTTATCTGAGCATCATCGTCATGTCTGAGTTGTTGTTAGCCTTCTTTTAATGCAATAAATTTTGGAATAAATACTCATTCAGATATTAGATATTCATTTTCTGTTAAGTTTACAAGTATAGTAACATCGTAGAGAAAAGAAAGAAGATTTAGCAACTGGTTGATGGTATTTTGTGAGCTTCAATCTTTTTTATTCGATGTAGTCCATGTACATAATGCATCAAATTCATATCGTCTGTATCTTTTGCTCATAAAGTCAGCTCCCGACTTCTTCATAGAGTTAAAAACAAAGTTCGAAGTTCGAACAACTATTATTGAACGATAGATGGTAAATCACAAGAGAAATTGCACCATACTTGTGCAATTTTGGCCTCGTAGTCAAAAGAGAAAAACAAACATGTTACTCATTCGTCACCGCGAAAGATTCATGATCGTTTTTAATAGAAAACAAATGGATCTTAATAGGTCTATATTAGCAAATCATACGAAACATCATTGACAAAAATGGGTTTATCATATCTCAAACTAGCAACCGCTTCTAAAAAAGACCAGAAACCATTGCTACAGTAGTATGTATATCGGGACTTCGGCCGGTTGGTATGTATGTTTAGTTTGTTATTTTATTAGTTCGTAGCTTATGCATATCCTCTAATCTTCTAAAACTCTTGTTTTCTTTGGAACTACTTAGTTTGTCCAAAACTCGCAATGAACTGTACTCTCAGATACATTTTTTGTGTAGTACATTTGATACACAATGATATACGTGAATAGGATGTTTCATTAATATCAAGATTTATATTTGCGTTCATTTTGAAATATAACTCACAATTCAGAGACTACCTATATGTATTCATTCATTCCACCGCTCTATTAGCCTTATACTAGACAAAAATA